CCTGTCACACTGTCCCACCTCTGGTTCCTCCTCTACCCACTCCTCATGCACCACTCTGTTCCTCCATCTTTCCCACCTCTCCATCACATACTCACTCTTCATAGTGACACTGGAAACTGCAGTGTGTCACACAGTATATATTTTTGCAAATGGTCATTGTAATGAGTCATTGGTGTGGTTCAAGGTTTCTGGGTTCAGACATTGCTGAGATGATATCCAGCTACTGCCCCATGGTGATCTTGTGACTCTGGTTCTGCAGAACTGGTTCCTTCACACTGTCCAGCAGCTCATAGACAGTGTAGATATTGGTATGGACCAATTGAAAGTGCTGGATCTGGACACGGGGTAACTGGGTTGGTCAGCTGGTAGGGTCTGGCATTTGCCCATGCCAATGGAGCCCTACCCATATCATTGCTTTTAACAGCTGAGTAATACACCATTGTGTAAATGTACCACATTTTCTTTTTTAATTTAACTTTTTTATTAACTCCTTGGGAATTTCACATCATGCACCCCAATTCTTCTCACCTCCCATCTCCCCAGATCCTCCACTCACCCCTGTAACACCCCTAACACACAAAAGAAAACAAAACAAAGTAAGCAAGGAAGCAAAAAGAAAAAAAAAACAAGAACAAACAACCTTTTTGCTTCTCCTTCTTTCCTGCCTCTCCAATACCTCTTCATTCATCCTGGTGGCACTGGGAGCCTTGGTGTGTCATATAGTATACCCTTTTGTCCTATCAACTTTACTAGCAAACATTCATTGCAAGGCCTCTGGTTTCTGATACACCATCCTCACTGGATCCTCACCAGAACTCTTCTGGGATGTCCTGTGGCTGCCCTGAGTCTTGGAGATCCTGGTTTCACAGGACTATTTCCTTCATAAGTTTCAGCAGGTCCTAGATGGATAGATATTATGGTGGGCAACCCAAGACCCAGCTGTGGGGCTGGGTAGTAGCTGAGCTGGTCAGTTCAGGCCACCAGGACCACCCATCTCAGGGGGGGTGGAGTCAGCTCCCCTAGGTCCATGCCCTCGGGGTCAGTTTACCCTTGCCTGTGATGAGGACTAGGGCCATCTCTCCTGAGTACAGGGAGTAGTATCCCAAGAGACAAGGCCAGCTTTCCCAGGGCTAGCAAAGGACAGGACTGGCTCAGCAATGCCCTCTGATTTCATCTAGCATGGTTCCTAAGGCCTCCTGAGATAACACAGGCCACAGACATCAACACTGACCCCAGCTAGAGCTGAACCATGGACCCATACATGGTCCTCTATAGCAGCATGGACCCAGATAACATCCTGGTTCCAGATAGAAGCAATAGCCATGAATTTGGAATGGTTCTGGCAGCTGCATGACCTCTGAACACCACCAAGGCCTCAGATTGCAGCCCCAACTCTGGGCTTCTATGTGACCTTTGTTGGCAATATAGGACTTGAACTTTAGCACAGACCCCAGCCGTGATAAGACCACAGACCTAGACATGATCCTGATAGCAGCTGGGTCTGGATGTCACCACTGCCCCAGGTGGCAGTGCAGGCCACTTAGATGGGCACAGGCCCCAGCAGCAGGATGGCCCTCAGACAACAACATGGCCCTGGATCTCGGTGTCTGAAAGGTCTTTGATAGTAACAGGAGCCTCAGACATGAGCACAGATACTGGCTGCAGTAGGGCCATGAACCATATGGCCTTCAGTGGCAATATGGGCCACGGACATCAACATAGACCTCAGCTTCAGTAGGCTCATGGGCCCAGACATGGTCCTCAGCAGAAACCTGAGTTGTCGTCATGGCCCCAGTTGACAGTGAAGGCCACACAGATGGCAGTGTGGCCCCTGCATCCAAACACAGCCCCAGCAGGCAGTCCAGATCACTGGATTTAACATGACACTCAATGGCAACAGGAGCCACTGACACAGACCCTGGCTACTTGTAGGACCAGGGACCCAGACATGGCTCTTGGCAGCAGCCAGACTTAGACATCACACAGCCCCAGATGAAAGCAGGCCTCCACCCTCACTCTACTCTTCACCTTCTTCACCATGGTCCCAGGTGGCAAGCAGGCCTCCAGCATCAGCATATTCCTCACCATCTTCATTTCTTCCTTTCTGGGTCTTTCCACAGCCCATGAACCATTCTGCTTCTCTTTCTCTCCAATTTCTCCACCACATACCTGTTCATCATAATGAGACCCTCCTGCCCTATGCTGCAAGGCACCAGGTGGGCCCATGGGTATCTTCCCACCAGCCAGGGCCTTGAGGACCCCAGCTGGTCAGTCCCTGTCTGAGCTAAACTGCATCAGGAAGAGCAGTACCATGCTTTCTTTATCCATTCTTCTCTTGAGGGACATCTTGGTTGTATCCAGTCTCTGGCAATTATGAATAAAGCTGAAATGAATATAGCTGAACAAGTGTCTTTGTGGTATGATGGAGCATCCTTTGGGTATATGCCCAAGAGTGGTGTAGCTGTGTCTTAAGGTAAATCAATTCTCAGTTTTCTGAAGAACCACTATATTGATTTCCATAGTGAATGTACAAGTTTTCACTCCCACAAACAATAAAGAGGAGTGTTCCCCCTTGCTCCCTATCCTTGCCAGCATTAGCTGTCACATATGTCATTGATCTTAGCCATTGTGGCAGGTGTAAGATGGAATCTCAGAATCAACTAATCAGGGCTCATAGGGGCTCCCAGAGACTGAAGCAGCAATCACAGAGCCTGCATGAGTCTACGATAGGTCCTCTTTTCTAAAGGGAAACAGAAGAGCAGTAGATTGGGGAGGTGGTATGGAAGAAGGACTGAGAGGAGTAGAGAAAGGGGAAAACAATCTAAATGCATTGTATGAGAGAAGAATTTAAAAAAAAAAAAGTGGATACCTGTCCATGGCATGCTTGGGGAGTTATTAATGAACAGAGTGAAATCACAACTGTGGTTTGAAAGGCAGAACAGTCTATACTACTAATTAATAGTTTATTCAGAGAACATTTGGGTTAAAATACTGTGTTTGGTTACAGTGTCGTTTTTAATTAATTAAATTTTTCATTTGTTTTACATTCCAACTGCAGTTTTCCCTCCCTTCTCTACTCCCATTCCCTTCCCCCCACCTCCCCTCTGGTCTCCCCATCAACTCCTCTGCTTCTATTCAGAAAGGTGCAGGCTGCCCATGGGTGTCAACAAAGCATGGCATATCAAGTTGAGGTGGGACTAAGATCTTCCCTTTGTACTAAGACTGGACAAGACTACCCATAAATAGGTTCTCAAAAGCCAGCTCAAGGATTAGGGACAATCCTTGATCCGACTGCTAGGAGTCCCACAAATAGACCAAGCTACCCAACTGTCACAAGTACGTAGAGGGCCTAGGTTGTCCCCATGCAGGCTCCCTGTCTGTCAGTACAGAGTCTGAGCTGCTATGCCCCCAAGTTAGTTGTTTCTGGGGGTTCCCTTGTAATGACCTTTATTCTCTTGGCTTGTACAATTCTTCCTCCCTTTCTTCAGCAGGATTCCTGGAGCTTGACCTATCTATGGCTTAGGTGTGGATCTCTGCATCTGTTTCCATCACTGGATGAAGGGTCTCTGATAACAATTAGGGTAGTCACCAATCAGATTACAGGAGAAGGCCAGTTCAAGAACGCTGTCCACTATTAGCTGGGCTCATCCTTGTGGATTTCTGGGAGGGTACCTGACACCAAGTTTCTCCCTGACCCTGAAATCCAGCCCCAGTGTCATTTTACATAGGTGAAAGCACCAAGAGGCTTAAAAGAACTCAAAATCCATAACTTGGATCTACTGCCATGTTTTCTAATGCATTCAAAGATGCACAGCTTATGGAAATATATAAAATGATGGTGCATAAACTAAGATCTTTTCTGTATTAACAGGTAGAAGGCAAAGTGAAAAACAATGTCTTCATTTTTTTAAAATGCACGAAGGCCCACAAAATACCTAGAAGATGTAACAGAAACATGGATGTGGAACTATATGAAAGAAGTAAGCAGTATGCTACATGTATTGGCATCTTACGATGCAGAGAAAGGGAGAGCAGTACTCCTGTGTACACTCCTGAGGGAACAGACACAAGATATTATACAAACACAACTTCTTCCAAATTTAACCCACTAATGAAACAGATCCAATAAAAGCCCTAACTTTTTTTTTCAGAATTTGATGAACTGTTTTAAAAAACATTTTCCATTTACTTATTTATAAATGAGTGGGTTTTGAAGGATTGGCAGTTCATCAAAGTCAGTGGCACACTTGCCTCCCGCGTGCAAGGCCCTGGGCTTGGTCCTCTGCACTTCAGATATTAGTGTATACATACAGTCAGAAGCAACTCTTAAAATTGTTTAATTTTATTTACTGCTGGGTTTTTTGTTGTTGTTTGGTTTGGGGGGTTGTGCTTTTGTTTTGTTTTGTTTTGCCTCCACTGAATTTTCTAGTTGATTTGACAAGGTGAAATGGAATTTAGAAGTAGAGATTCCCTGTTCTTCCCTCAGTTTCCAGGTGGTGCACCTCTAAGAGCACTGCAGCGCCAGATCAGAAGTTAAATGTTTGTAGCCTGGTGCTGGCATTTGACCTGGCATTGGCAGTACATAGTTGGTACTGCCTTGCAAAAGCATTTCTCTAGCAAACAAACACGTGTAAACACTATCTGAATGCAAGCAAAGGAACACGTGCAAACATGATCTGAATGCATGCTTGCTATGCTGATCAGTGTTGAGAGGGAGGACAGCCTCCCACCCCTAGGACTGGCCTATGGGTTGATGAGGTTTCCCTGTATGCACTTACCAGCACTGTGGCAGGTGCCAGCAACCAGAGTGTTGACAGAGCCCAGCCTCCTCCATGTCACATCATTCAACTTCTAAGAGGCAACAGCTACAAGGTTCAGCCTTTGAAATGATGGCCAAGTGCAGCTAATAATAAACCAGTATCTTATGCCAAGAAAGAAGAGTGTGTTATTGGCTGATGAGTCACCCTCCTTCCCAATGACATATTATAAAATCTTTGTTTTTCCTCAGGAAATTTTCACAAGTTGACAGCTAGAGCCCAAAAGCACCATGGCTGTTATTGGAGTCACAATTGCCTTGCTGGTGTGGGTGGCCACTCTCCTGATTGTATCCATCTGGAAGCAGATCTACAGCAATTGGAACCTACCCCCAGGACCCTTCCCACTTCCTATCTTGGGAAACGTTCTTCAGCTGGATTTGAAGAATATCCCTAAGTCCTTCACCAAGGTAAGAGAAATTACTGCATAAAGAAAACAAGTTAGAGATTAGATATAATGCATATATATTAACCTAACTGGCAGTTGCTATCTGAGGGCAGATTACTGTGATATTTACACTGCATTTATTTTACAGTCCAGTCTGGCTAGGGCATGAAGCACTCATAGTGAGTAGTGCCATGCAGGCCCCGTGAAGTTGGAATTATTAAGAGATACTGATGTTGCTGGTATCATTATGTGTCAATTATGATACAACAACAGGTGTACCCCAGCTGGTGTCAGCCTGTGTCAAAGAACAGACTAAAGAGAGAAATTGAAATATTGAGCCAGTTGTGATTCATCAAATTAACATCTGCCTTTTGCTAATTCTGTGAACATTGCACGGGCTAACAAATACCATAATGCTACCAGGCATGGAGTCAGTGCTTGGTGTCTGTGTTACAGGTTGCCTTTGCCAATGGCAGGGTAGCTACAGGCTTCAAGATCATTGATTCCAAGTTAGCTGGCAGTACCCTGCCATGTAGAGCCTCAACTTTGGGAAAAAACTAGAAGGTGGCTAGTGTTGATATTGACTAAACAGCCACAGAGGAGGAAATTGTGTCTAGGTGGAAGGAAGGGCCCTGTAAATCCAGCAGCTTTAGGTGCAGAGAGTCTCTCCATATCAGACTGAACAAAAATGGCCTTTCCCCCAAGTCCCTCTAACTCTCTGTGAACAGCAGGAACGATAACAGGAAATGAGGGCAGTCTAGAGCAGGCTGACTCCTGCCTGCCTCATGGTCCACTCTGTGCATTGGTCTCTATAGCTGTCAAAGCGCTTTGGGCCAGTATTCACACTGCACCTGGGCTCAAAGCGTATCGTGGTCCTGCATGGCTACAAAGCTGTCAAGGAGGTGCTACTGAACTACAAGAGTGAGTTCTCTGGCCGAGGGGACATCCCTGTGTTCCAGGAGTATAAGGACAAAGGTGAGTTGTCTTCTTGGGCCATTGGAGGGGACAAACTAACACGGGGAGTTAGTTTGTTAACACCATATGATACCCCAAATATTAACAAACTGTAGTGGCAGTGATAGAACAAAGACAGAAAGGCAAAGACTTGGGTGATGGCTTATGCCTGCATGAAAGCTGCTTTGAGACTTGTACTGAGCAGGCACTGTGAGCCCCATGAGAGGATCTTCAGGCCCCCACACTCACCATAGCATTGATCAACTCACAGAGAAAGACAGAGAGGCAGTTTTTGAACCCAGGAAGTCTTCCCCAGAAGATCCATCCATCCTCAATGCCTCGTGTTTTTCTGAATTTATTGGAACTCTACACACAGTCTTAGCTGTCAACTGAGGTACAGATGGTTCCATACCCCCAAGCCCTTCTACTTAACATGAGGTACCTAAACCTCCCTGGCATTCTGTTTGCAGAGATGGACCAGCCTTTAGGACTTTGCTTTCCTCTATTGTAGCTGGTGATCTGCAGAGAGAGAGAGAGAGAAAGCAGTGTGCTACCAAGAATCTTGCTCATCTGTTCCCTCCTCTAACCTTCAGGATAAAACTGAAATCATGAGTCTGACCCACAGCTCTTAGCTGATATCACATACTTCCCTATCCCCTCTCAGGCTGGCCATCTGTTGTTCTAGAAAGTTCTTTAGCACCATAGTAAGCATATGTTCCATAAGAACTTCCACATGTTCTGCAGGGTATTCCATTAGGCATCTCACATATGATTGGGCAGTTAATATGGGAGACATTATGAGATGCAAGCAAGCACTACTCCCCGTGTAGATATAGCTCATTATTGTTTGTCTCTGAATGCTCAGAGTCTAGATGGTGACTCAGACATGGTAGATACCAAAACATTATTTACTGAAGAAATGATGATGTGAAAAGTAAGAAAAGTGGGTAAAGAAAGAGCAAAAAAAGAGTGGCCAGAAGGACTTTGCTAAGCAAAAGCCAGGTGGGGCTGGCCCTGGACACTTTGCACTGGCTCCAAGGGGTATCCAGGATCTTCAAGTAATATATATACTATAACAAACCATCAGTCAGGATGACTTAGATTCAGATTTGAGGAATGAAAAAATGCTCACAGAATTAGCTGATCTGGAGATGGAAGAAAAGAAAAACTAGTTTTAGACTTGTTGATTCCAAATGGTTCATGCGGTCATCGGGTCATGTTCTAGGAGGAAAAACAATACATTTTGTTTGAGGGAACTATTCCACATTTCATTGAGAAGAGATAGTACTCTATATCTTAATTTCTTCTAAATGAGAAGTTCTATCGCCTTTAGATTTCTGGAGCCAGAAAACTGTGAGTTGAAGTGTTTGTGATGGGAAGGTTAAAACCCATGAGCTCAGAAATGCTGCTAAGACCTCTGTCAGTAGGCAGAAAAAAGAAGGGTCCTTTTGGTGGCTGCCTACAATTTATTCAGCATGGTAAAGGTTCAGAGCAAAGTATGAAACCAAAGAAAATGAACTGGTACTAAGAGAAACAACTATGAAGCACGGCCCTCTGTTCCCTTCTCTGTGCCTCTTCTGCACCTGCACATTTCACCCAGGACCCCAGACCATTTCCCCCTCCTCCCCTACTTCTCCAAGAACTGAGTACTTGGAGTAACCCCCATTGGTCCCTTTTCCTTAGGGATTATTTTCAATAATGGACACACATGGAAGGACGTCCGGCGGTTTTCCCTAAGCATCCTCCGTGACTATGGAATGGGGAAGCAGGGTAATGAGGCCCGCATCCAAAGGGAGGCACACTTCCTGGTGGAGGAGCTCAAGAAGACCAATGGTTCGTATCTCAGCAGTCAGAAGGGATAGGAGCTAGGCTCCTGAGGACACTGAAAAACCTGGAGGCAGTTGACAGCTAAAAGGACCCTAGGGAAGGAAAAGGTCAAGCTGATCCCCAGGCACTGACTTCTCAATTTGAGTCCTAGTTCTTCTTCCCAGAAGAGGATGAGTGGCTGCCGGGTGTGACTGTTGTACCCTAGATAGCATTAAAAAGTAAAGACACTTGGGGGCTCAAGAATTCTCTATGTTCTCAATGAGAACTCATGGGAGACTGAGTTGGCTAGGGAAGGCCACAGTAAGTTGCTCACACTCTACCTGTTTTCCAGGCCAGCCTTTTGACCCCACCTTCCTGATTGGCTGTGCACCCTGCAATGTCATTGCGGACATCCTCTTCCACAAACGTTTTGATTACAAAGACAAGAAGTGTCTGAGGCTCATGAGTTTGTTCAATGAAAACTTCTACCTGCTAAGTACTCCCTGGATCCAGGTGACAATGCTCCTCCTCTTCCATGAACCTTCAGCTGCATTGTTTACATTAAAAGGAGAAGAAAAATTCAGGTTGTGTGAGAAAGACAGGCCAGGAAAGCAAAGGACAGGAGAATACAGGAGGGCATTTGACTGCATTGGCTCAGTACTTCTCACTTCAGTACCTGTGTCTACTTGTATGCACACATTCCTATCCACACCACCCCCAAAAGACAGTTGGACCCAATATTTAAATAGTATGATAAAGACAACCATAAACTCATTGTTTGGAGGTTCCTATCAGTTACACAGTTTTTGTTCTCCTTAGGTTTACAATAACTTTTCAGAGTATCTACGATACCTACCTGGAAGCCACAGAAAAATAATGAAAAATGCATCTGAAATAAAAAAGTACACCCTTGAAAAAGCCAAGGAAAACCTCCAGTCACTGGACTCCAGCTGCCCCCGGGATGTGACTGACTGTTTGCTTATAGAGATGGAGAAGGTACTGGACAAGATGGGCTTGCTGGGTTGGGGCAGAGTGCATGCATTCAGTTCTTACATTATGACCGACTCAGTTTCAGACTGAGCACCATGGTTGTGTTTTGATGTTCATGGTTTTTCATAAACATGTGTGGCTTCAGTATGAACACCACACTCTTCTTTTGTCTCTTTTGGAGGTGAAGTCCCTCTGTTCAGTTCCCTCCAGACCAAGATGAACTACAACCCTTTGGATAATCTGGTCTTGTCTCAGAAAACGTTGCCATTCCTTTCAGTATTATACAATTGTGGTTGGCTTTCAGGGTGCTAGGCCTCTCCACTTTCATATTCCTGCAGCCTCTGGGACCACTTAGATTACTACCCTACTTTCTTTTTGTAATGGCTTGAAAACATGTAAATCCTACACTGATTTCCTCTAGATAATTTCTATCTGAGAATCCTTACCTTTAGCTCAGCCTCTCCCTGCTCCTGGTCCAAAAGCTCAGCCTTGAGCCTGAAAAGAGGCTGAGGATAGCCTCTGCAGCTTGAAGGCCATTATCATTATTAGACAAGCCTGGCACTGATGAGCAGGCCAAGACCCTGTGGCCTAGGTAAAATACCTTTCTTGTGCTTAGCCTGTTTCCTGGGAGCCTCAGCTTCCCCAATCATGAGGTACAGAGGGCTGTTTCCTGGTGGCACAAGGAGAGTCTGGCATTACCTGGTTCCACCCTGTTTAAGAGCAATAGGCATCACCTTCTCACACCTAAAGAAATCTATCTCACCAGTCCCCTATCTGGCTCCAACTTCACAGGAAAAACACAGCAAAGAACCCATGTACACAATGGAAAATATTTCTGTGACTTTGGCCGACCTGTTCTTTGCGGGGACAGAAACCACCAGCACAACCCTGAGATATGGGCTCCTGATTCTCATGAAATACCCAGAGGTTGAAGGTACATGAATGAGAAGCTGAACTCACATGTGGCACAGCTGAGCCTGTCAGCACCACCCTGTGCTGTTCAGCTGTTCTGTGGCTGCTCACTAACCTTCTCGGTGCTCCAGGTCACACAAGACCTTACGTGCCAGGGCCTAGTATCCAAAGACTGGCTTTCCCACACACCCTCCACTGGGATGCCTGTGGCCCAGTGATGAAGTGGAGAGGGGAATGAGTCTATGCTCTGCTCTGTAAATAACTTGTTTATGATGAGAAAATAATGTTCCAGTTTCCCCTGACAAAGACTTTTTGGAGTGATAGGCTGAGACAGGTATAAGGGCCAGACTGAAATCATCCCAGGGAATCTTACTCTAAGGGACTCTGAATGGAGATTGAGAGAGAAGCAATCAAGGCTGCCCCAAATCCACTTCACTTCCTCTTCAAGGTGGGAGGAATTCTGTGCCTGAAGGCATAGGGGCCTTAATCCAGTATGCAGGGGTTATACATACACTTGCCAGACAGGGGCAGTATAGTGATCCCTACATGTAAGTCTATGGGGATCACCTCTAGTAAGGGAATTGAGGGAGTTACAACCTAAGATGAAGGTACTCAAAGGCCTGAAACCCTGCCAGTCTCCAAGTTGGGCATGGATCTGGACAGCTACTACGTACAAAGCAATACTTTCCAAGAAGTTGGTTATGTATCTGTCAGTCCAGGGTCAACATTCGAGCTCCAGCCTTCCTGTCAGCAATGCCTTTGACTTTTCACATCACACAGAAAAGTGAAAACTGAAAATGGTTAAAGTCCAGGGAGGAAAATATACAAATTACAGTACCTAGAACTTTGACTACTGTACTGGAGAAACATGAACTGGGGGGGGAAAAGTCACTGTGTAGCTTTTCCATGTGATTTGGACACTTAATATTAATGAAATATCAACACATAACTCACTGTTTTTATACATGCCTTAATAGTATACCATACTATACACAACATAATGACACTTGCTTTTTTCCCTCCGCATATTATTATTGTTGTTTGATATTGAGACTTAGGTGCTGCGAGTAGAGAAAGAAACTCACCAAGATGTTAAGTCTTCATTGTCCCAAAGAGCAGAGGGATACAGCCTTCTTGGAAAAGACTTACACCTGAATAACTCACTCGTTACTTTATTCAAACAATTACAAGGTTAATTGGGCCTGGGAAAGGTTCCAACTACCAAAGTAATCTTGCTCCTGCTGCGCGTGAGAACAGAGAACAGAACACACAAATCTCAGTCCTTTTGACTATGTCAAGCAATAATCAAAAGTAAGAACTCTGGGTATGCCAGGAGCGTCTTAGGGCCAAGATCAGTGTAGCTGCAAGCTTTCACATAGCACCAAGTGTAGACTCCCCAGAGAAACAATTCTTCAACATTTAAACAAATTCCAAGCCTCTACTGCTATACCTAAACATAGCAAAGGCTTTGCTGAACCATTGCTCTCAAAGCCAGACACAAAGGCTTTATTATACATTTCATTTTCAAACAGACACAAGGGCTTTACTTAAATGTCACTACATATTATAGAGTCCCATAGTGAATTCCAAACACAGAAAGACTAAGGAACTTGTCAAAGACTGCTAATACCTCTGTCATAATCACAGGGACTTTCAGATTTCAAGGACTGTATTCTAGTCTGTAACCCTCTTCCTATTTCTCACACTAGTAAGCCATTCTAGAGTGATAATGCAAAGATTTTCCTTTAAGAAATATCCAATACCCTTTTGTTATCTCTTCTTCTGACATGAAAAGAGTTGGAAAAAAATATCACCAACTATGACAATGGATGCCCAAACTTCCTGTCAGCTGTGAATGATCTCACAGATCTTAGCTTTCATTGACAATTCAAAGTATTTGGGGATTACAGATTCAATATAATGTTCTACATAAGCATGCAATGGGTGACTTGGCAGATGGAGAGAAGGATAATCAGATATCTGTGTGAGTGGATGTAAAGACCAGGAGATAGTTGTGTAGATGGATGAGTAGGTAAATGAGAGAGTAGAGGGGTGAGTAAATGAATAGGTAGGTGAATGAGAAAGTGAGTGAGTTACATGGGTAGATAGGTGAGCAGGTAGGCGGAAGTAATTATATGTATGGATGGATAGTAGGTGAACATCAATTCTGAAAATAACCTGAATTGTTCTCATTCATATCTTGGCAGAGAAACTTCATGAAGAAATTGACAGGGTTATTGGGCCAAGCCGTGACCCTGTTTTCAAAGACAGGCTAGAGATGCCATACATGGATGCTGTGGTGCATGAGATTCAGAGATTCATCAGTCTTATCCCCTCCAACCTGCCCCATGAAGCAACCCGAGATACCACATTCCGAGGATATGTCATCCCCAAGGTGAGGCATGAGCTGAGAGCCCTCCATGGGCACTGCCTGTTAGTTTATCATCTAGGTTACCATTCATGATTGGGACTCAGGGGCACTTTTACCAGCATATGCAGCTGGATGTGGAAATCAAGTCAGCATTCTTGCCCTGCAGAACACTTCACCCATAGTCACCCCAATAACCCTATGACCAAATAAATAGAGGGAATCATGAAAAATGTCTCCTCAACTGGTCCATAGGACTTGTAGAACATTCTAACATTGAGATATCATGGCAGCAGTAACCCAGCCTGGAACCCACCGTACCAAAGATATAGGGCCTTCCTCTTCATTTAGACTTGATCCCTAGCTCTTTTCATATATATTCATTTATGTTTTAATTTTTATTTTACATATAGATCCCAGTTCCCTCTTCCTCCCTCCCTCTTTCCCTCTCTCCCACCCTCTCATGCCCCTTGACCACCCTCCCCTCCCAACCCCCCCACTCCACATGTAAGGTGACGCCCTCCAGGAGGAGTCATCTAAATCTGTCAAGTCATTTGGAGTAGGGACTAGGACTTCTCTCCTGTCTCTAGGTTAAGGGTCCTTTTGTGCACCAGGAATACATCCAGGTTCCACTGTCCGAGGTCCCTTAGACTGCTCAGGCCTACTAGCTGAGACCCATGTTCAGGGGGTCTGAGTCAGTCCCATGCTAGATTCCCAGCTATCAGCCTGGAGGGGCATTAGATCCTCCTTGTTCAGGTCAGCTGTCTGTGTGTTTCTGCAGCCTGGTCTTGTCCTCCCTCTCTGCAAAGGAGAGGAGAGGAAAGCATGTGGGACTAGGAAGGTTGAGTCAGGGGAGGAACAGACAAGAGAAGAGAGAGACAGAGAGAGAGTAAAAGAGGGAGCCATTATAGGTTTGAAGAGAAAACTGAACCTAGAGAAATGTCCAGAGACCTACAAGACTGACCCCAACTAACAATTTGAGCAACAGTGGAAAGGCTACCATAAATGCCCTTCCCTGATAATGAGGTTGAAGACTAACTTATCCACCATCATGGAGCCCTTATCTAGTAGCTGATGGAAACAGAAGCAAACACCCACAACTAAACACTGGGCCAAACTGGAACCCTAGCTCTTTTCTATGTAGCCTTTAAATAACACTGCAAATAAAAATACACTGTCCTGCATAATGTAAAACTCCAACAGCCCTCTTCACCAGGGTCTTCCAGATGAAAGCCTATGTTTTGTTAACTTAACTGATACAAACTTCTACTTCTTCCAGGGTACAGTTTTGATTCCAACTCTGGACTCCCTTTTATATGACAGCCAAGAGTTTCCAGATCCAGAGAAGTTTAGACCTGAGAATTTTCTGAATGAAAATGGAAAGTTCAAGTATAGTGACTATTTCAGACCATTTTCTGCAGGTAAGCAGAAGAGTTCAGGGGTCACACCATCCCCAAGAAATTGTCTTCTCCAATCCTATGTCTACTTCCCATGTGCTCTTGGCCCATCCTAGAAGAGGGCTGCCATCCCAACCCCACCATGCCCTTGTAACACATAACCCAAGTATGTTTCTCCTTGTTCAGAGAAGTCAGGTGTCATGTTTCACCAGAAGTCCTGGAAATAAGATGTTTTGGCTTGATTATTTTATCACAGTGAACATTTTTTCCTAGTTCAGATACAATGAAAGCTCTCAAAACTATATTACCTATTTCTTCATAGATTTCTACAAGAATTTCTAAACTCTATTTTTTTTAGCTACCTGGACTCTTCTTAGCAAGCATCTGTACCTTCCAGATGGTCCCAGCTCAGGGACTACATAGGGGTCCAGTAAAGGGCGATCCTTCAGCCAGTTTAATAATTTTAACCACCTGTGTTTGCATAGGCTTCACTTGTCCCAGCTTCCTGAAATTATGGCAAAGGAGTTTTGGGGTCCATTTCCCTAAACTACTTGCTTATATAGCAGAATTCTGAATGAGTGGTGTCAGAAGCTGGTCCCTGAGTCACTGTCACTCTTGTTCTCTGACATATTACCACTGGTGTTCAGGGATCAATGGGCATGGACAGTGACTCCACTCACACTCCCAATACCTCAATGTTAGAAGTGTTACTCTGCAAGGACCCCGCAGTAGCTCATCATCACTGTTGTTACTTCTAGGAAAACGTGTGTGTGTTGGAGAAGGCCTCGCCCGCATGGAATTGTTTCTGCTCTTGTGTGCTATTCTGCAACATTTTAATCTGAAGTCTCTGGTTGACCCAAAGGATATTGACCTCAAACCTGTCACAGTTGGCTTTGGCTGTGTCCCACCTGAATTTAAACTTTGTGTCATTCCCCGCTCATGAGACTGTCTCAAGTGAAAAGTTATCATAGATGTTCATTAAAATGTGACTTTGTTTTTTAAAAATCCCAAGCATATAGAGTTTTCAATTAATTATATATTAGTTGTGAATTTAGTGAGGAGGACCTTGTCCCCTTGGCTCTGTAAAAGTTCCCATGTGAGTATCATTCCATAGTCAACAGTATAGCATCTTCCAATCCGTCTGTCCCTGACTTCTCTTGGGGAATTTTTTGGATATGTGAGATTATACTGTTAGGAATAAAGTGTGAGGAACCTTGGCAGATTCCATGGCAGTTGAGGGTGACTGGGGCAGGAGAACAAACATGGCAGGAAGACAGAGCTTCAGTGAGAAGTTTTATTAGAAAGGGAAGTGGGGGAGAAAAAAGAGATAAAGAGATGCAGAGACAGAGAGAGGAGGGGAAGAGAAGAGACCAAAAAAAAGTCCTGTCTGCCCCAGGGGAACAGCAGGAAAGAGGGGGGGGGAAGAGAGCATAAGTGGGTGGAGGTCTTCCTTTTAAGGGGTCCTTTGAACTTGGGCTGGCCAGGGTACTACTTGAGTGCATTATGCCAGGTGACAAGGGCAGGCCAGCATAATGCCTGAATCCTTACAGATCCTGGTTATTTGCCTATCTCAAGACCCTGAATTCAATGATATATTCAAAGTTCTCTGGTGGGGGGATGGATGTCCTGTATATGTTTCTCCTATTGGCTAATGAATAAAACACTGATTGGCCAGTAGCCTGGCATGAAGTATAGGAGAGGCTACCAGATCAAGAGGATTCTAAGAGGAGGAAGGCAGAGAGAGAGAAGCCAAAAGAGGAGATGCCATGTAGTGGTTGGGAAGATAGGACGCTGGAGAATTCTCCAGTAAGACCACATGGAAATACATAGATTAATAGTTATGGGTTAATAATTAGGAAAGAGCTAGCCAGTAAGAAGCCTGAGTCATAAGCCAAACAGTTTAATAACTAATATAAGTCTCTGTATGTTTATTTGGGGCTAAACAGCTGTGTGACCAGGTAGAACAGAACATACCTCCATCTACAGTTCTCTTATGGATTAGAGTAACATATTCACAGGTTCTCAAGATTATAATGTAGACACTTTAGGCTGACCCCACTTTCCAGATCATCTACTTTGAGTACTACTGAAATCCAAAATTAACAAATGCCACAACCTCCATTGAAGGTACTTGGATCATCATGACTCCACACTGCTTTCAGAAAAATGGCAAGACTGCTTCCAAGAAAAAAAAAAGGAAAGAAGAGCATAATTTTAAATTTTGCTTTGGGGCAGAGAGGTTTCAACTTAAGAGATTACCATTAGGATAACTCTGAAATGACAGGGAAAAGAGAGGGTGTGTGTAGCTCTAAGGACCATTAACTAAGTGTAGCATCATCTGAGGTTGACACCTAGTCAACAGAGTCACTAACTATATTCTTGTCTTTTCAAGAGAGTAGAATTAAGTTGGCATGTACAGTTGCAAACCAAGCAAGGTGACACTCATCTTTAATCCCTGCATTCAGGAAGTAGAGGCAGACAGATCTCTGTGAGTTTGATGTCAGTCCGGTCTACATAATGAATTCCAAACCAGCCAGGACTACACAACTACACAGTGAGACTCTGTTTCAAAAAAAAAAAAAAAAAAGGATTACAGTTCTTGGGAGAATTAGTCTTGCCTTAAGGAATTTACTCTTGCTCTGTAGTGTACATATTTCTTCTGGGTGTGGTAAGCCCATACCCATCTTGAAGATACAATGACTGTGGCAAACTATAGGAAACCTTGTCCCTGAATCATGGCAATGAAATAAACTGCACAGCAGATATCAAGGTCTATGACAATAGGGCTGTTGGCACTCACTTCTGCATGGAAGAGAAGGATCACAGGGACTTCAGGAGACCCTTACAAGATCCTCTTCTGGGGTTCCATTCAATACTCCCACATTCTGTAAGAGGGCAAAGACTGACTAGGGGCAGAACTTTTCAGGTAGAGGTATAGCCACCTCTTCATCACGCATGCTCTTGTAAATCGCCCCTACTAACTCAGTTATTCACTAAGTTGAATTAGACAGAACCTTTCTTTGTTGTCTCTTTATTTATTTGGGGTGAATATACATTCCATTTGCATCCTACCAAGAAAACCACAAAGGACCCAATAGAACAAAGGATGAATAGGGAGAGTATATCCATGTATGTCTTCCCCCAAATAAATAAGCAATTTTAATTTGGGGTGTTCCTGCAACATTGTCTTGCTCATGAACAGTACAGACTCAAATTACATTCATTTTTCTTGAAGAATGAGGTGGATTCTAGCATGAGATAAGAGCTGGTGATGTGTCTTCCTTTTGTTTCTAAGTCAATGCTATCTGGGCCTCTATGAAGGAATTAAATTATGAGTATTCAGATACTGTGAGAAGGTCCAGATCTGTATCCTTCCTGCCAGGATCAGTGAGTATGTCAGATACTAAAGGTGAACAAGAGATGGGGAAAGTACTTGCTAAGGACCTACAGTATGGACCCTAAGCTTGTCAAGAATCAAAATTGAGCCAAGACATCTCCAGGTTCAAAAACTAAAGGGGCTTGGCCCCAACACCCATTCTTATACCCAGCATATACTCAGACAAAGCAAACTATACAAAATGGCCCCTCTGTTTCAAACAGCCCCATATGATGAGTTCGGGGTCGGTATGTCTTCCAGGTCAAAGAGGGTATCAGGTCCTGCTCGGTGGACACTCTTGCTCTTTCTCCTCATGGACTCCTAGGGGCTTGGGACTGGCCTGTGGAAGATAAAGGTCCAGGAATTTTTCCCTGTTCACATCATTCCCCCTTCCATTTTTCTGTGCCCACACTACCCCGGATTTACACCTTTGCCTTAGCTGTGCCTTCTGCAGTAGGAATGCCCTTTCCCACAGACTACACTCTTGGGAATGCCACTATCCTCTTTGTCTTCTGCCCCAGAATTTACCATCCTCCATGAGTTGTCTGCTTCATCTTGCATACTCTGAACTTGAGCAAGGATCTGTACCCCATGCTTTTCCAGTTCTTCTTTCAGCCTATCAAGGAAGAGTGGACAAAGAGAAAGATGCAGGAAAACTGAGAAAGAACAAAGAGACACATGGGCAGAACAGGGAAAGCAGCTGTCACTCATCTCCCTGAGAGGAATGAGGTCCAGGAGCTCCATGACTACCTCTGCCGTTTCTGCTGTAGCTGTTGGCACCTCTGCTGCAGTTGCTGGTGGTGCTGAGCTGCAGCCTCTAGGAGCTCCTCAGCTTTCTTGTTCTCGTCTTTGAACAGCTGCCTGAAAGTGGGGAAAGGATTCAGCGCTGAGTATTTCTTCTTCCTGCCCCACCCCACATCTTACATTGCTGCAGCTGCCTCATGGCTTCGGAGGAAGAGCCCCTCAGTAAGGGTAGAAGACCTCTCAGGCCCACACAGGGCAGACAGCCGATGTTTCACATCCTCCAGCTTTACTTCAATCAGTTTCTCTACAGAGAGAGAGTAATGAGCAGGTGAGGGCAGGCTGGAGCAGGTGAGGGCTACCCTTCTCCTGCCTCACCTTCTTTGAGCAGCTGCTCCTTACTGCTGTCCAAAGTACAGGTCTCCTCGGCCAGATGTTCAGGCTTCTGAGGGGTGTCACAGAAAAAAAATCTCCTAGCTTCCTCATGCTTCAGAGAAGCCTGTATAGATCTAGTCTTTTCATTCCTCATTGATGTTATCACTGCACCCCAGAACACTGAATGGACACGGCAATATGGGTGAATGTGAAAGACCAACAGTGAGGACATCACTTGATGTCCTCCAGAGTGGTCACAAGGGTCTGGATTTAGGGTGACAGCAGGACAACCAAGGCTTACACAGGAACAAAGCGTGATAGGTGGCATAGCTTTATATGACTCACATGAAATTCCAAGAGGTCCTTGTGCTGGCTCATCAAAGTCTCCAGCTGTTCTTCAAAATTCAACCTAGGAGCCAATCACAGAGCCACGAAGGCCATGAGCTACCATAGGGCTTGGCTGAGGCCTACATCTATATAACACTCAGGGGCTTTGTTTATGCCCACTATTCCACAGGGACTACATTCACTGCCTTGATCATCCAGGACTAAGCTTAGCCAGCTCTCTGGACCATCCAGGGTATTACTTGTACCTATAGCACATCTCCAGCCTATGCCTCATGCCTTTTAGTTTACCTCAGCTGTCTTAGTTTTTCCTTCTCCTTGTCAATCTGAGAGTTCAGGAAAGAAATTCTCTCTTTACACTCCTGTAACATGCCATGCTTCCTGGAAAGGAAAACAACACTCAGTTATGTTCTTTCAATGACCCTCCCAGAGGGAAGGCTGGGACTTCTATTCTGTTCCTCTCTATTCAGCTCTGTGTCTAACACAGAGGTGATATGGAAGGTTAACACAACACTTAGGGAGGCCACTATAGACATGGTATCTTACCTTTGTGCCTCACTTTCCTTCTCTTGGCACTGCAGCCGAATAATCCTCAGGGTCTCTGTAAGGATAATAGAGCCCTCTGGGTGCTTGTTAAGGCATTGTGTTTGCCAGATGGAACAAAACAGGTCACATCAAGTCTATGGACACTTGACTGGACTTTGACATTTTCTGGGTCTGGTAAAGATCATAGGAAGGACACAGGCCAGGTCTTAAGGTTCTGACTACTAGCGAGAATGGGCTTAGGAAGAGTATCACAAAGCCTAGGTATGGGGAATATGGAAATACCTTGCTTTTTGTTCAAGATATCCTTCAGACGTACTTTCTCTTCATGTACTAGAAAACATGATGAAGGCACAGGCATTAGGGATCAAACACAGAAATGTCAAGGGCAGTAATGAGAGGTAAGGTATAGCTGTGACCCTAACCCAAATGTAGTTTCTTTGAGATGAGTTCCCACCCCTATGGTACTCACACTCCTGTAAACACAATGGGCCCATAACACTCACAAAAGATGTCTGTGAGAACCATGTGTGACATCCATTAGGACTGGGAAGAACTATGTGGATCTAAAAGGGCTACGTGGCCAGGTAAGACACACTCTTAAAAGACCTCTCCAATTACTCGGAGCTGATGCTGTGAGACAAGAACTTGTGTGATCTGTGGAGAATCGTCTCTGCAAAGGACTCAGGGCAGAAGTGTCCTCAGAGATATCTCCAGAACTCTCCTAAAGAATATGAGATTGGGGAAAGAGAAGAATCTTGACCCTGGTGAGGATGTCAAATGTCAGCAATACTACACTGGGAAATGTTTAAGACGTTCTGGGAACCTCTAGTGACTCTCAGTTAACTTACATGAGTCCAGGTCCTTCTGCAGGGTATCCCAGACAGTTTGGGCTTCTCCAAGCTCCTCACTGGCTTTCTTTTTTGCTTTATCAAAAGAGTAAAACAAACATTTAGTACAGATGACATTCCATACTCATCTCAAAGAAAACCTAGAGGCGGCTCAGATTTTACAAAACAGGAAATGAGGCTTTCTAAATCTGAATCTTTCTTTCTGGGCTCAGGTGGCAGCAGGGCCATGCTCACAGACCAATGACTATGGCAATACATACAGAAATGGCCTGCACTTATGCTCTCTTGTAATAACTACAGATATTTAACAAGGACACCTGTATTTCCACTTTTACTGGGCCTAGCCTGGAAAAACATGTAGCTGGTCCTGGATAGCAGCCAGAACTGAGCTCACCTTGCTGAACCTCATTAATTCGATTAATCAGGACCTCAATCCGGGGCTCTAGATTTCCCACTGCAGAGCAAAAAGGAAACTCGTTGTTGATAATGTGACTGCCTGGAATTCTGAAGCTTTCCCTTCCCATAAGTCTACTGAGCACTGATTATGTACAGGTGCTATATTATTGTCTCAAACTTGGAGTGTGAGGGCCAAGCAACAGACCAAGAGATTGTGAGTGAAGCTGTGGTAACTTTGTCATGAGAAGTGAAGCGCAGGAAAAGGTCTAAAGGTAAAGCTCAGGAAGTGCTTCTCAGATGTGAGACAGTGTCTTGTAAGAAAGGAAGGCCCTCAAGCTCTCTGGGTAAAGTGGATGATGCAAAGTGCAAAGGCCTGTCCTAAGGAGGAAAAGCAAAAGAAACATGAAGAATATGCTAAAGAAGCAGAAGGTGGCAGGATGTAAGGTGAAGAAGAGTTACAGGTAAGACCTGGATCTAACAAAGTGTTGTGCAGTCAAGGGAGACTTGGGACAAGGTTTTGGGTAAACATTTTGCCTTCTACTCACTCATGTTTCTTTAATTCTGAATCACTGGGGCTCCATTTTTTAGTCCAAAAATTTTAATTTAAAGGACCAGTGAGATGGTGCTGTAGATAAAGGCACTTGCCACCCAATCTGACAAGCTAAGTTTGATCCCTCAAACTCACATGGTAGAAGAAGAGAACTGACTTCCTTAAGCTAAACTCTGACTTTGACACATTCTTTGACATGGTATGTGTGTGTAAGCATGAACCATTGTATGCCCACATGCACACGCATGCACACAAACACACACACATACACACACACACACACAGTAAATGATTCTTAAAGTTAAAATTTAAGTTTGAAAACATCTACTTTTATTTTTGCATGAGTGCTTTGCTTGCACATATGTGTATGCCCACCATATGTGTGCTTGGTGCCTGGAGAGACCAGAAAAGAGCATCAGATTGCCTAGAACTGGACTTACTAATAATTGTGAGACATCTTGGAGTGCTAGGAAACAAACCTGGCCTTCTGCAAAAGCAGTTAGTGCTCTTAACTAATGACCTATCTCTCTGGCACACACCCAAATTTACATTTTAAAGAAAACTCGTGTGAATAAAATCACTTCTTATTTCTGTGAATTGTGGTTCTTGGAGTTGAATCTCCATCTGCCTGACTTCAAACCTCAGGGTAAGCCCATAGGCAAAAGAGACGCATGACCTTTCTGCAACTTTTTCACCATTCCCATCAAGCCTTCAATTCTCTGTGTGATCATACGCTGCCCTGTGGAGACAAAACCAAACACTTCAAACTCAGCAGTATCAATTGTCAGGACATGGATCCAGTACCTAGGTTGATACTGACTTTAGCTGAAGACAGATATCTAACCAGAACAGAGTTACTGATCCTTGTCCCAAAATGGATAGTACAAAACAGTGAGTTGGGCCCCTCCATGGACAGACTTTTCCTACATAGTGCAATAGCACCACACATTCTCGGCACAGAACTCAAGGTGAGGTCAGTGCTATACTTAGTTCTCTTGTGCAGCTGATGTTGTCAAACCTGGTCAAGTTCACAAAGTAACATATGAGACTTGGGTACTAGGTATGGTGACATACATCTGCAATCTTAGAACTTGGAAGAAGTGGCAGGAAAATAAACAATTTGAGTCTAGCCTAGCCTTTATCACAAGATAAAACCCGCCGTAAGCTACATAAAGATCCTTTCTAAAAATGAGCAAGTGTCTAGGGTTCAATGGTAAGGAGTTTACTTTGCATATTCAAGGCTCTGAGTTTAGTTGCCACTGGGGGAAAAGGGTATTGCAAAAAGAAAAACTGGAAAATAGTTGAAAAAAATCACTGTAATGGATTGATAGCATTATCAGTTAGGAAGTTAGAGAAATTCTTACCCAAAATACACTGACTATAAACAAAATGTATTACAGTAAGAGAGCTGTTTAAAACATATATTCAAATAGCTTCTCTATATAATTGACACTGATTATAAAACTTCCATATAAAGTAACATTTTGTATTTTGTTTTTGTTTTTTGTTTTATTTTTCAAAACAGGGTTTCTCTATGTAACCACTTTGCTGTCCTAGAACTCACTCTGTAGACCAGGCTGGCCTTGAACTCACAGAGATCCACTTGCTTCTGCCTCCTGAGTGCTGGAGGTGTGTGCCACCACTGCCCAGCAATTTTTATAGCCAATATATGCACCTATCTTTAATTCTCTGGTGAATTAGATGTAGGAAATCACTATTTGTGGCATTACCATCACATAAAGGAACCAGACATTATGAGTCATCTAATTTTTAAAATGTTCCCTCTTAAGAACTCATAAAACTGATGCTAATAGTTACTAAGACTAAGAAACAATTCAGGACTAGAGATCCACAGTAAACGTGCATGTGGCACCATCCAGCCTGGGAAACCATATAGAGAATATTTTTAACATCAAGGGGAAGGGGGTGGAGGAAGACTCCCAAGGAATGATAAGAGTCTTAAGAAACACATCAATCTAACCTCAAAAAAAAAAAAAAAGACTTTAAATAGATTTTGATCCAAATAAATACGCTTTAAAAAAAATAAAACAATTAGAAATTTTTTAAAAGTCAATTGGATACTTGCTGAGAAAGAAATTGTTGGCGCTATTATATAAGTGTTATTTTTTTCCTGGGGTACTTGTCTCTATATACACACATGGGACATTTACGGGTTGCACTACTGTCTGAGGTGCTGTGTCATCAAACAGGGAACTGGGTTGGGGGGGAGGGGGCAGATTGACGAACAAATCATAAACGTCCACGCTGGAGGGTAGGCTCACGGCCTAAGCCCACCTTGCTCTCTGCTTTTGTACAAACTTGAGTTCATCACAATAAAAAACACTGTTTCACTGCCCCGATACATAAACACTGAATCCTTTGCACAGAAAAGTTTCTAGAACAGTAGTTTTTCTCAGAGGCGAGCCGGCCACCCCCACGCTAGGCGCGCTGGGATGCCGTCAAGTTCGGGCAGGGCCACCTGACTTCAGGCCTGGTGCCACAGGGCTCCGGTGCAAGCGGGCTCTGAAGGTGACAGGAGGAGTGTGGCCTGCAACAACCCCACACTAGGCCTGGCACCACAGAGAGGCAGCGAGCTGGCTCTGAGGCGACCCACGCCTTGTCAGCCGTCGTCGTGCCCACCGCCCAGATCTCCACAGGCCTCGACAGGAGGCCCTCTCATCCACCAGCACGCCAGGACAACCCAGACTCCCTTCAGCCACTACCTCCGGCCCCCTGAGGCCCGTGGAGCGGGTCTGCTGATCCCTCGGGCTCCATGCCCAACGGCTGAGGTCTGGTGGCCATGCCGCTCCACTCCACTCAGCTGCCACAGCCGCCGGGCATCTGTTACACACTGCGCCTGCGCAGTACGCTGCGTGTAGCTCACCACAATGCGGCCAGCTACTGCGCACGCGCAGATGTAAATTCTTGCTTTCCCACCCCACCCCACTCCCAAACTCTATCCCTATTTGAAGTGAAGACTTACAAGCCAATGATTGGCCTGGAAGGCAAGTGCCTGACCGAGAACAAAGGCCTATCTCTTTACAACGGTTAAGATTATGGTTGTTGGGGATAGAATTAAGGTTGTCAGAGTTAAGGTTAGAACATGGAAATGTTCTACTCTTGGACAGAATAGTGATGTTGTGCAGACCCCTGATGCCTACTGAAAGAATCTCAAGGACCTGTGATGGACATGGAAGCAGCTCAATTCCCAGTTCCCAAGAGACCATTCTTCAAAAAAGCCTGGTATCACTCTCTGGGCTATGCCTAATCCACCTGCCAGGACAGCCCAGGTGTGAGCACTTCTGGCTAGGTTCCACACCCACCGGGGGAACTACTCTCACCTTGCTTCTCTATGGTAGTCTCTGTGACCCATGTACAAACCTTCTTAAGCCAGAATAACCCAACAGTTCGTGTCTGGTAGTCTGCTGGCTCCTGTCCCCAGTCTGAAGTATCAAATATGTGCCCTGGAACATGCTAGGTTCTCAGAGTTCTTAATAGGAGGAAATCTGGTGAATTCTCCCCTGAACAGATGTTAAGTAAGGTTCCCTGAATCCCACTCCGCAGCCACTCTAGTTTCTCAAATTGTTATTGATAACTTGTAGAGATGCTTTTGTGTACACTATATTAATAAATAACCCAGTATAAGGTGGTCATAGAGAAATAGTTTAATATATTAAGAATTGTGTACTCTTGAGGACCAAGACTAAAATACTATTATATATAATATATAACACATACAATATTATATATAATCAATATATATGATGCCTGTTGACATCTTATGAGAGCCATGTATTTTTTCATGATCAGAAATATGAGAACACACCTTTAATCCCAGCACTCAGAGTCAGAGACAGAGGCAAGCAGATCTCTGTGAATTCGAGAGCAGCCTTGTCTACAAAGCAAGTTCCAGGACAGCTAGGGCTATTTCACAGAGAAACCCTATCTCAGAAAGAAAAAAAAAAAAAAAGAAGGGAGGAAGGAAGTTACACATCTATGTTTAAAGTACAGCAAATAGTTGTTTGGTTTTGCTTTGGTTCAATATTCCCTTACTATCCTCCCTTTCCTCCATTTTGATTTTGATTTTTATAGGGACTACAGTTAAAAGACTGAATGAATATCAGAATAGACTTTTGACTTTAAAACATTGTTGAAACTGTTATAGATTATGGGAACTGTTGAAGTTGCAATAGTGCATTTTGCATTATGCTATGGTTTCAAGCCTCTAGGGGCCAGGGAATGGAATGTGGTTTGAATACGTATGGCCCCCATAGACTCATGTGTATGAATACTTAGCCCATAGGAAGTAGCACTATTAGGAGGTGTGGCCTTGTTGGAGTAGGTGTGGCCCTGCTGAAGGAAGTGTGTCACTGTAGAGTCACTGAGGTCTCATATATCCCAGTGTGGCAGTCTCTCCTGCTGTCTTTGGCTCAAGATGTAGTACTCTCAGCTCCCTTTCCAGCACCATGTCTGCCTGCAAGCCACCATGTTCTGCCATGATGGTAAAGGACTAACCCTCTGAAACTGTAAGCCAGTCCCAATTAAATGCTTTCCTGTATAAGAAAAAGTAAAGTACAGCAAATAGACATTGTCAACTTGATTGAATTAAAAATTACTATGGATGAAATATGTATGCCTTTAATTTCCTTCTCTTGTCTTATTGCTTCAGCTAGTACTTCAAGCACAATATTGAAAATAAATGGGGATAATGGACATTCCTGTCTAATTCCTAACTTCAGTGGGGATGACTTCAAGCTTTTCTTTATTTAGGATGATGTTTTGCTATAATTTTTTCATTTATAGTTTTTATTATGTCGAGGTATGTTCCCTCTAGCTCTACATTCTCTAGAATTTTCATCATCAATGTATTTTGGATTCTGTCAAATGTCTTTTTTCTGTATCTATGGTGATGTTCATATGGTTTTTGTCTTTAAGTCCATTTATGTGGTTTATTACACTTATTGACTAGTATATGTTGCATATTCATGTATTTCAGGGATTAAGCCAACTTGGTCATAGTGTATAATATTTTTATGTATTTCTGTATTTTATTTGCAATGTTTTAGTAAACAGTTTTGAGTCTATGTTCATCAGGGATATTGACCTGTAATTTTCTTTTTTCTTGTACCTTTTCCTGGTTTGGATATTAAAGTGATACTAGCTTTGTAGAGGGAATTTGGGAGCCCTCCTTCTATTTCTGTTTTTTTTTTTTTAATAATTAAAGAAAAGTTGGATGTACATCTTCACTGAAAAATTCTACTACAAATCCATCTGACCCTAGACTTTACTTGCTAGCTTGAAGGCTTTTTATTACTATTTTAGCCTCCTCACTTGTTATGTGTCTGTTTAGGTTGATGACTCCTGCTTGGTTTCCAACTTAATGGAGTGCAAGTTCTTAAAGTATTACCCTATAATATTCTGGACTTCTGTGGTGTCTGTTGTAATGATTCCCTGCTCATTCCTGATTCTGTTAACTTGGGTCCTCTTTTTCTTTATTTGGATTAGTTGAGCCAGCAGTCAATGAATTTTGTTCTCAAAGAACCACCTCTTAGAGTCATTGAGTCTTCTTTATTTTTTAATTTCTATTTCATTGATTTCTGATCTGAATTTTATTATTTCTTGCCATAGATTGGATTTAGATTTGATTGGTTCTTGTTTCTTCAAAATTTGAGTGGCACCATTAAGTTATTTATTTGTAATCTTTATGATTTTTTTTTCAATGTAGACACTTAGAACTACAAATTTCCCTTGTAGGCCTGTTTTCAATGTGTCCCAGAGGTTTTGGTGTGTTGTGTTTTCGTTTTCATTAGCTCCAGAAAATTTTATTACTTCTTACTTGATTTCTTCTTTGAGCCACTTTATCGTTGTTTAATAAGGATCAGGAAAAACAGATAGGATGAATAGATGTTTATTCAGGGAGAAATAACTTACAACTGAGACAGATGAACACCAGCAGGTTACTGGTTACTATTTTACTCTCCTCACCTGTTATAGTAATAGTAAGGATGCCTCCAGATGCTCTCTGTCCCAGTCCCACAAGCAAGAGAGTGCTCTGGAGCCCCTTCCCCAGACCTAGTTTCCCCAGGTCTCTTCTGCCCCTGTCCCCACCCCCAATGGGCATGCCAGTACCACAGGTGCTGATAAAGTGAATATCTCACTACATCACTTGACTCTCAATAATGAGTTGTTTAATCTCTATGAGTGTGTGTGTGTGTGTGTGTGTGTGTGTGTGTGTGTGTGTGTGTGTATTTACCAGAGACTTTTTTCTGTCAGTTTTAAGTTTTATTATATTGTGGTCATATAGGATATAAGAAGTGATTTCATTTCTTTTGAATTGGTAAAAAATTGTTTTGTGTCCCAGGATATGGTCTAACTTTAGAAGAGCTTCCATGTGCTTCTGAGTAAAATGTATATTCTTTGGTGTTTGGGTGAACTATTCTGTAAATATCTGTTAAGTCCATGATGTTAGTTATTTCTGATGTTTCTCTGTTTGTTTTGTTTGTTTGTTTATTTATTTATTTATTTTTGTTCAGATGACCTGTCTATTGGAGAAAGTAGAGTATTGAAATTATCTGTCATTAATGGGTTGATGCTAATCTGTGTCTTTAAATCCAGGAGCATATTTTTGTGAAATTGTGTGTCCCAGAGTTTGCGACATATATGTTTAGGATAGTAAAGTCTTCTTGGTTAACTGTTCCCTTGATCAGGATTAAGTGTCTCTCTATTTCTTCTGATTATTTTTAGGTTGAATTTTATTTTGTCATATTTTAAGATAATGATGCCTGCTTGCTCCCTTACTTACTAGCTCTTACAACTTAAATTAACCCATATTTCTTATCTAAGTTCTACTATATGGCTCATAGCTTGTTACATCATTTCATACATATTCTCCTTCCTCTGTGTCTGGCTGCCAATTCTCAAGACTCTGCCCTTCTCCCAGCACCCTTCTTGTCAGACTCCTCCACCCAATCTCTTCCTACCAAGCTACAGGCCAGTCAGCTCTTTATTAACCAATAAGAGTAATACATATTTACAGTGTGCAAAGATTGTTCCACAGCAACACACTTTATTGTTGATTTTATGTATGTGTGTCAGAGAATTAAATGTTACCTTCAAAGAGCCTTCTTTTATTTTCTATTTAAAGGAATGTTTCCTTCCTCTATAGTCTATTAAATACATCAACACAAAGCCTTCAAAATCAGACATTCGAAAGTATATATATTTATTCACCATTTAAAACTTGTATCTTGTCTAAGTTGTAGGTCCTATTCTCTGAGGAGGTTGTAGCAGAGGATGAAAAAGCCTATCTAAATGAAACACCAACATGTGAGAAATGTTTTTTCACTGAGTTGTGAAGCTACTTCTTATGTGGAAAAGAGGATGCACAGGGGACTTTAGTTTCTGTTTAGGTGTGAGTTAGCTTTTTATTCTGATGAGAGAAATTTGTAAAAGTCAAACCCTGGGAAGAATTGACCTCAGTCCCTGATTTGGTTTGTTTTCCTTTCTCTGTGATAAAATACCATAACAAAAACAACTTAAGGGGGGAAGTGTCTGTTTCATCTTAAGTTCTAGGCTGTACAGTCTATCATTGTGGGGCAGTCATAGTGACAGGGTCTAGAGGCATTTGGTCACATGACATCCATAGTAAAGAAGCAAAGAACAATAGATGAATGCATCCATGCTTACACTTTATCACTCTTATCACACTTCAGGATTCCTAGACCATGGCCAAGTCTTCCCAGGTGTGCTGATTAGCTTTCCTCAACTTGATATAAACTAAGTCACCTGGAAAGAGGGAACTTCAGCAGAAGGATTGTCTCCATCATACTGGCCTATGGGCATGTCTATAGAGG